ACCCCTCTCCTGTTGCACTGGCCAGGGAGCGGGTTTGACCTCTCAACTCAGCCCTTTCTCCTTAGTTACAGCACCTGAATTTCATCTGTTAGGTCATCTCTGTGAATACCTGAGGGTTGAGGAAAGGAGGAGGGGCTTTGCAGGGCTGCTGGGAACCCTGATGAGCAGCTCCCTGAGTGCCTCGTGGCCTTCTTGTGGTTGTTACTGTGAGTCTCGGTGTCCTCCGAAGCTGGGCTGCCTGGCAGCAGGTTTCAGCCAGCGTGGTGATATAGGCGCCTCCTCCACCAGTCTGCCCCACATAGGGCCTCCCTGGCCTGTGTTCCATGGGACATGGATGCCAGGCTGGCCCATATTCCCTGGACATGGGTGCCAGGCGTCCAAAAGACCGGGTTCTGGGAAGGCTGACCTCGGTGTGGCAGCACAATCGCAGCGGGCAGCCAGGGAAGCAGGCCAGAGTGTGGTGCCACAGTCATTACACTCTTCTAGAAAATGGCCAGAGCCAAAAACACCCCCCCACCCCCCCTCCCCACTAACAGGTATCTTTTCAAGTAAAAACTAAATACATGTTAAAGGTAGTTTTCACCATCCAGGATGGTAGGAAATGTGTTTTGAGTAATATGAGCTTGTTTAAATAAATTATCTTAATTTAAAATCTGGGAAAGACAGTAAATGTACCACTCAGAGTTCCTAAATCAGCTAATCTGTGTCCCTGAGTAGAGTGGGTGACATGCTTCTTCCACACTATGACCCTTAGAGACTACAGGCCCTATCTTTGGAGTGGTGAGCCCTCCCGTGGGGCCAAGGACACAGCTATCGGCCTTTGGGTGGGGCCCTGTGTGGATCCCTGGGGAGGCATCTCCAGCTTGGGGCCACCTGCTTGGCACAGACCCTGACTGTGAGATCTGTGTGGCCTATCCAAGCTCTGAGGGACCTGGGCCTGGGCCTCCTTGACTCTGCCCTCAGTTAACCCAAGGCTTCTCTCTCCTGGACACACTGCTTGCCACTGACGTGTCCTTTGTTGGGTGGGTTTCTGGATCTCCTCACTGCAGTGACTGAGCCAGACTTGGGTGTCCATGTGAGCTCAGTCTTTGCTGAAGGGCTGCAGTTCATGGCGGCGCTGGCCAAGATGCTGTAGGACAAAAGAAGCCATTAGGGACTTGACTTCCGCACTTCCAATTCACGGGGCAGGGGTTCTGTCTGTGATCTGGGGGACACAGAAGAGAAGGCTGTAGACACTTGGTCTGCTTTCTGGAAAGGTGTGATTCTAAAGGCAGCCTGGTACACTGAGGGGCGTGTGTCCAGACACTGAGCTGGGGGCACTCACCCCCACCTGACTTGGCCTCTCCGGGGACTGTAGCACATTTTGCGCGCCACCCTCTACCACCCCCACCCTGTACCTGCACCACCCTGATGCTCCTGCTGGGGAGGTGGCTCTGCCTGGGGTGCTGAGCTCGCTGGGGTGTGGGGCTGCTGCACTTAATGACAAGGGTCTTTATCGAAAGTTCCTTAATTCGAGTACTCAGCTATACGCAGAACGGCATTTTACACATGCTGGACAGAAATAAGAGGATCAAGCCCCGGCCAGAAAGGTTCCAGAACTGCAAAGACCTGTTTGACTTGATCCTCACCTGTGAAGAGCGAGTGTACGACCAGGTGGTGGAAGGTGAGCCAGCCCCAGGGCCAGCCCCTGCACTGTGGAGCTGACCTAGGCCACACCCTCCACCCTGCTGTATATCCAGTGCTTCTGATGCATCCCAGCTCCTGTGGGCAGTCCCTGGTCCTGACCCAGGGCTGATTAAAGATTCCTGGTGTCTGTCCCTGGAGGAGGGCATGGCAACCCACTCCAGTACTCTTGCCTGGAGAATCCCATGGATGGAGGAGTCCGGCAGGCTACAGTCCATGGGGTCCTAAAGAGTCCATGTGTCTGTGGGCTCCTGCGAGCAGGGGAGGTTGGGTGAGGCCACACAGAGGTGAACAGAGGATCCTTGACCTTTGTGGCCCTGGACAGGAGATGGTAGCCTTCTGGATGATTATGTTCATAGGGGCAAAACCACCCATGCTGGTGACAGCATCATGTGCGTTAAGGGTCTTTTTGGTGCAGAGGAACCAGGGCCTGGTCCTTCGCGAATGAGGGCATTGTTACTGCCCCCTGCACAGTAGGCTGGTTGGTGTTTGTGAGTGTGACCAAGCAGCTAGGGATCCCACTTGAGCACAAGCTTTCCTCCCAGCACAGCTGTGTTTGGCATGAGGCTCCAGGGTGGCAGGGAGTGTGCAGCCTGTTTAGATGTGTGATGTGGGTCCTTAATTGTAGTCCCCAGAGGCCAGGGCAGTTGGGTATCACAGACCCTTCTGCCCTCTGATTCCAAAGCCTCTTACTTCTGTCCTTCTGTTATGGTCAGATCTGAATTCCAGGGAGCAGGAGACCTGCCAGCCCGTGCACGTGATCAACGTGGACATCCAGGACAACCACGAGGAAGCCACGCTGGGGGCATTCCTCATCTGTGAGCTCTGCCAGTGTGTGAGTATCGGCCTGCCCCGGCTGCTTCCTGCACACCAGGGCTTCAGCAGGAAACTGATGAGCCACTCAGTTCATGTTGAGGTTATTTCCAAAGGTATGAGGGTCAGCAAATTGGTTCTGGCTAGAGAATCCCCCTCTGAGCATTTTACTGCAACTGATCAGTTGCAGTAGAGAGCACCTCACCAGGGGCTGGTTCCATGGACACAGGCCTCCTGCCAGTACCCCAACACCTACCGAAGCTTGGGGGCCCCAGATATGGTGTTTAAAGGGCGCTGGTCCTCTTCTTCCTCTGGGCTTATCATTCCAGACATCTGGCCCTCCGCAAGTGGCCTGGACATCCTCCCTTCTACAGGAAACCTCAGATTCTTTCATGGCTGCTGTGTAGCTGTGCTCAGAGCGAGACATTTCCTCTTAGAGGTGCAAAAGAACCCATCCAAGGAGAAACTGCTATGCTTTGTCTTGCCTTCACCCGTGGTTTCTGCATTTAGGCCAGCTAACTGAGTGTTTGGAAAATGAGGAAAACAAGTGGCTTAACCAAGAAGTATAGACAGGCAGGCGTGAATGTGTTTGCTGTGTGAGGGGCCCAGGCCCCTGCTCTCTTGTTACTGTGCCCAGCACAACTTCTGTTCCCATTGTGTCACATGGTCCAGGGTGGCTGCTGAAGCTCCAGCCGTTGCACTTATGATCTGGCCATCATGCAAGAGAAAGGGCTGAAGGGGATGACACGTCCTAAAAATAGCACACATGACACCCACTTGGTTCATGCTTGTGAGAGCTTGCAGAGGAGAGGCAGTGCTTGCAGGCTGAGACTAGGGCACCAAGCTGCCTTTGCCTTAGGCCAGCCCCAGGCCACCCCAGGGCTGCCCCTGGTCATGCCTCCTCCTTCCAAGGCAGTGGTTCTCCACCAGGGACCATCTCACCACATCTGCATGCACAGTGGGCTTCAGCTGGGAGACACTAGTGGCAGCTGGCAGGCAACCTGCTGTGCACAGGACGGCCTTCGGGCTTCCTCGCGGAGAGACAGCGGGCAGGTTGGGTCTGCCATTTGTGGGGACAGCGCAGCGGCGAGTGTCTAAAGTGTGTGTTTGCTTGAGCTCAGAGGCTGGCCTCTGGCTGCTGCTGCTCTGTGTCCCTGTCCCTGGCAGGTTCCCCTCACAGCACAGCGGCTCAAGGCGGGTCTCTTGTCCACTCCAGATCCAGCACACAGAGGACATGGAGAATGAGATTGACGAGCTGCTGCAGGAGTTCGAGGAGAAGAGCGGCAGGACCTTCCTGCACACTGTCTGCTTCTACTGAGCCCGCCCGGCACCTGGGCACCACCCGCTTGAAGCCATCTTTTTGAACTTCCTTTTGTTAATACTTTTTCCTCCCTGATATTTGTTTTTACCTTTAGGTATTCTGCCGGTGGACGGTAGCAGTACCCAATAAACTGTACATATGAAATGAGAAGATACATACATGCCAGATCACAATCAAGTTTTTCCCATCCCACTTTCACTTAGGAGTGGGATCTTGATTAAGTTTTTCTTTAACTGAAAAAAAAAAAACACAAAACGGTTGATAGCACATGACCCCCAAGACATCTGCTTCTCACTGAGCATCCCTTTCCTGGCTACCCTAACTGGCTGGAATGTACAAATCCTTGAATAAAGCAACAGGCTGTACTTTTTGGGAAAGAACCTGCCATTGTCCAATAAATAGATGTTGATGGTCACCTTGGCTTCATCCTGAGTTGCCTGGCCCTCCAGTTAGGGCACTTAGACAACAGTCCCAGGCATGTGGGTCACGGGGAGTTCCCTGGCACCATCCAGAGGGCTTCCTGTTCACAAGCCCCTGCCCCTGGAATATAGCCTCTGCCCCGGGGGTTTGGGACCACTGTTCTGGTGAGCCCTCCTGATTTCTGCAGCAGTGGAAAATCTTGAGTTCCTGCAGGAAGCTGGGCAGGGAGTTGGGGGGCGGGGGTGGGGGGAGTGGTCCTGTGTAAGTAGTGCTGTTCTGGGCTGCAGATGACAGGTTGGCGCAGGGCCCCCTCCTCCTCCTCCAGCATAATGGGGCAGCCAGATCAGGCCTCTGACTTTCCTAAGGAGAGCTGGAGCTGAAGCTGGCCCTGCACCGCCCCCCCCCTCCCCCCGCAACGGGGGATTCTTTGGCCCTTTTTGAGCTCGGTCGTTGGGCCGTGTGGCCATGGCTCTGGAGTGATCTAGCTGGCAGCCGCCCTGCAGCCCCTCCACTGAAGGCAGCCTCTTGCCATAGTGGGCTGGGTGCCGACCAGCCGGTCCGCAGACCCTCACCCCGCGACCCCGGGCGGCGGGGAGGAGGGGCCTCCAGCTGAGAAGTGGGGAGGAGGAGAGCGGAAGGAAGCCCGGGCCGCTCCAGGATCGCCCCGGCGGGTCGGGACGGGACGCGGCCCGCGGTCCCGGGGCTCTGGGCTGGCAGCCAGGGCCGGCCCTGGCCACATGGGGGCGAGCGGGCCCTTCGCTCCGGCCCGGCCCGGCCCCGCCCGATGTCCATGAGCGCGAACACCATGATCTTCATGATTCTGGGGGCGTCGATCGTGATGGTGAGCGGAGGGGCTTCCCGCGCGCCCGCTCCCCGCTCCCGCCTCCCGCGCCCGCGCACCGCCTCCCCCTCCCGCGCCTTGTTTACGGGCCCGCGCGGCCTGCGCTCCCCCATCCCCGGCTGCCCTGCGCTCCCCAGTCCCCAGTGCGCCGGCCCCGGCCTGGGGGCCCCGGCCCAGCCGCTCGCTCCTCGGCGCTGACCGGTCATGGGCTCTTCCAGGCCATCGCGTGCTTGATGGACATGAACGCGCTGCTGGACCGATTCCACAACTACATCCTCCCGCACCTGCGGGGCGAGGATCGCGTCTGCCACTGCAACTGTGGCCGGTGAGTCTGCGCCCAGAGGGGCACACGCGTGATCACACATGTCGGTGGAAGTGGCGAGCCCCAAGCAGGCCGGGCTGCAGGGCCCAGCTGGGCTAGGCTGGTGGGGGCTGCCGAGGCTCTGCCAGGCTGGGTGGGGGAAGGACCTGCTAGGCTCCTTCCGCATAGGGTGTTCCGGAAGGGGAGAGGACCCCCTTCCATATGGCCTTTAGAGAAAGGGCCCGCAGGGTGATGTGCAGAACTGGTCCAAGGCCTGGAGGCCAAGGGAGCAGCCGCCCAGCCTGGTGTCCCAGGAGGGCTCCTGCCCACAGAGGACACCCTCCTCCCGGGGCCCCCAGCTCTGTCCCTGAACTTTCCTGGGAGCCAGCTAGGGGGAGGAGCAGAAGGTCAAGGTGGGCAAGGCCTCCCTTGAGGGGCATCTGCCCAACCCCTTCGGTTGTCCAGGAGGAACTGAGGCCGGGGGTGGAGTCTGCTCAAGGTCAAGCAGAGGGAGGGGAGCGCCCAGGCCCCTGTGCCCACTTTGTGACAGCCCCCCCCCCAATTCTGTGCACATGTAGTGATGGAGTCTTCCTGGCCATGCATGTTTGTATGTCCATGTATGAAATAAACATCTTCTCATGAGACACGCATGTGTGTACCGTCTGTGCATATACATGTGCGCACATGCAGCAGTCCCTCAGCCCCACAGGAAGCCCACACGCTGGGGCCATGAGAGTGGACAGAGGCTGAGCAGAGGGACTTGCCCGAGGCCGTGTGGCCGGTAGGAAACTTGTGTTCTTGACCCTGCCCTGCACTCCTGCTCCAGGGATGTGTGCACACATACTGGGCTAGGGGTGTGTGTGAGAGATCAGTTTCCTGCCTCACTAAACACGCTACACGCCTGTGTGTGCAGACTGGGTGTTGAAGCAGAACACGGGCATCAGGGCAGGTGGAGACAGGCGTGTAAATGGCCCTCACGTGTGCCGTGTGCTGGCCAAGAATCATCTTGAGTGTCGGCTGGGTGGCCACACCCCCTGAGGTCCCTGTATTCCTGACCCAAGACACACTCTGAGGCCAAGGAATGGCAGGTCAGCTCCACACTAACTGGGCCAACGTGGACTGGGGTGTGAGCAGGGTCCCGAGACCCTCCAGGACACTGGAGGTGTGCCCGGCACCGGCCCTAGCTTCGGCTCCATCGACATTTATAAGGACCGTTTTCCATGTGAGGGCTGTGGTAGTCTGACCGGCACATATGTGCCAGGAACATCACACCACGGGCCTGTCTGGGCAGACAGGGTGTGTGTATGCATCATATGTAATGTCCAGAGTACACATGAATGGTGTAAAAGAAATCCCCATGGAGTGCAAGCTGCAGCGAGGCCTGCGTGCACAGTTTAGACACAAATAACACAAGAGTCACCCAACTGTAGCGTTGAGTGTTTCCGCGTGTGTATGTGTTCATGTGTGTGTGCTTTGTACACACTGCTGCATACAGGATGTAAAATTCAGTGTACAAACTATTCTTGTACACTGACAACATGTATGTGTATGCGCAGTACATGTGTGTAACAATATACAGCACCGTGTGTGCCCTGTGGGCGTGGTGAATGTCTGCAGGGCACAGGCTTGCATATGAGGCCTCTGTGTACAAACCATGTACATGCACTGCCACAATGGAGTCTACCTGTGTGCACACCCCATGTGCAGAGAAAGCGCACACACACTTGTGCCTTCCACATGCCAATATGGAGAATATTATGCAGAGGAAATGTGTATAAATGCTGTGGAGCGTGCGTGCCAATAGGCTTTCTATGGGCGCTCACCATGCATATGCTGTGGGGCCCACAGAGGAGGGCTGTGTGCAAGCCCAGTGCATGTGCATCTCCATGTGACACACACCATGCTCGGCCCCAGGCGCGTGTGCCCATGCACAAGTGTGGAGCTCATGGGCCGAATTCATGGTATACACGCCGGGTCCTGTGCATGTGGCTGGCGTGTATACACAACATGCGTCCAACCTCAGGTAGACACATGCAACATGCGTGGCCCAGGCAGGACACATGTATGTATACATCACAGAAATACGTGTGCACATGGGTGACCTGAACCCCCACCCACCCCCCAGGGTCTGGGAGGAAGGAGGAGGGCAAGGGGCAGGGGATGAGTGGCAGATGCCAGACCAACGATGGGGGCACAGATCATGACCTTCGATCCCCTGGAGGTCCCAGGCCCCTAGGTAAAATAGGGGCTCTGGCCTCTTCTTACTTGCAGGGGCATCTCTGGCTTCCTTAGCAACCCCATCTTCAAGTTTCCTGCCCTGTCCATGGGTGGGAAGTCGTGGTCCCAAGGATGACCTTCCCTATGGGGGCCCAGGAGGCAGGAGTGCAGGAGGCAGGGGCTCAGTGTTCTCAGCTGCCAGAAGGCCTGGCCTGGTCAGGGCAATGGGACTGCAAACAGGTGACTACAGGCATCCTCTCCTGGGTGCTGGCCACTGCTACACACTGTGGGCAGTCAAGAATTCTCCATCTCTCACTGATGACTGATAAGAGCTATTGGTGAAATGTGATCACATGAGCTATGGCTGCCATGTGTCAGGCAGTCCTTGCCAAATAACCTGGGTCTGCTTATGGGGCTGTGGTGGCTGAGGTGTCTCCCCCCACCACTAGGCCTGGTCACACTCCAGACTAGCTGAGGGGGATGGGCCCCAGAAGTCCCCAGGGGTAGCAGAGGGGTGTGAAAAGGGGCTGCCGTCACCACTGGGAGGAAGGGGCTGGGTGGCCCCTTCTAGCGTGGGGGTGTCTGTGAGGGAGGAACTGTAGGGGCCTGGGGTCAGGGATGACCTGTAGGGTTTACTGTTTTTGAGAAGGTCCTTTGCAGGGGAGGGGGCATGGAGCATGTCCAGTTGTGAGGTGGGGACGGGGACTCTTAGCTGGAGACAGGCAGAGGTGTTGACATGTAATTGAAGGGAAGATGGGGAGAAGCGGGCTTGGGGAGGGAGGAGCTATTTTTAGGTGCAAGTTTGAGGTGTCTGTAGATCCCACGTAGAGATGCCATGTAGGCAGCTGGAGCTTGGAGCAGATGTGGGGGGGGAGGTGGGGACTTGGTGGGGGTGGAGGGTTGAAGAAGCCAATTGAGGGGCTCAGTAGGAAGAGAACCAGGCAGGAGGACCCCAGGGTGGCAACGACCCTTCAGGGCCAGAGGAGGGCCACAGCTGGTGAGGGTGACTGGGGGTTCAGGGTGCACTGGGCACCCAAGGCCAGCAGCTCCTTTTCTCCAGCTCTCCTGCGAGAGTGGAGGACCTGGAGTTCAGAGTCTGGTGTCCTGGGTACTGGTCTCCTGGGCAGGGCCACCTCGCCTAGGATCCCCAGGATTGCTAGGCCCAGAGGGCTTCCTGGAGGAAGAGAGAATCTGGGCAGGCTGGAGAGAGCTTTGTGGGGGTAAGTTCGTTGTGGCCGTCAGAGGCAGGAGAGGGCCTGGAGGGGTCAGTGGCCTCAGATTGGACTGTCGAGGGAGGGAAGGCTGAGGGGAACAACCCAGCCTTGGTGGGTGCTGGGATGCCAGGGGCCGTGGTCGTCCAGGAGGTCATTTACGGCTCCCATCCCAGGATCAGGAACCTGTGTGGGGCAGGTCCAGGGGTGCCCTTGGGCTTCCAGCACAGACAGTGGGGGCAGGGGAGGTTCCTGAGAGGGATGGGGAACCAGATGCCAAAGGGGACCAGACTCCCAAGGCAGGCTCATCACTTGTGGCTTTCCTTGGAGGAGAGGGCAGGGTGACTGCAGGGTTGGGAGGGAGAGGCCAAGGGGTCAGTGGCCAGGAGCCAGGCCCACAGGTGGGCTGTGACTCACTCGGCGGGGATACCCTACCCTGCCTGGGCTCTCACCCTGGAATGCCTTTACCTGCGCTCTGTGCCTGTGACCTTGTAGGGGTCGCCATTGAGCCCGGGGCTGGAGGGAGAAGGGAGGAGGGTATGCGTACGGGCAACTGAACTTCACACTAACCTCTGACCTCGCACACTCCCACCCTCTGGGCCAGGCAGCTTCCCGCCTCCCGCCTGGGACCCACCAGTGACCTGGGTCCCAGGCGAGTGCGCTGGCCCCTTCCGATCTCAGCTCCCCACAAGGGCTGCTTCAAAGATCCCAGCAGGTGAACGGGTGCGGCTTACTGCGGGGTCCCCGCCCGCCCCGCGGGACAGGTGCCAGCCCGCCCTGCCGCCCCCAGGCACCACGTCCACTACGTGATCCCGTACGACGGGGACCAGTCTGTGGTGGACGCCTCCGAGAATTACTTCGTGACAGACAACGTCACCAAGCAGGAGATCGACCTAATGTTGGGGCTGTTACTCGGCTTCTGCATCAGCTGGTTCCTGGTGTGGATGGACGGCGTCCTGCACTGTGCCGTGCGCGCCTGGAGGGCCGGCCGGCGCTACGGTGAGTGCGGGCGCGGACACCCGGGCAGGGCTCCGACCTTGCCGGGGCCACGCCCCACCCGAGCCCCGCCCACAGCCCCTCCCCAAGCCCCACCCACCCGAGCCCCGCTCACCACGCCCACACCCTGACCGCGCCCCCCGTCCCGCAGACGGTTCGTGGACCTGGCTGCCCAAGCTGTGCAGCCTGCGGGAGTTGGGCCGGCGGCCGCACAGGCCATTCGAGGAGGCGGCCGGGAACATGGTGCACGTGAAGCAGAAACTCTACCACAACGGCCACCCGAGCCCGCGGCACCTCTGAGCCGCGCGCAGGACTCGCGGGGCCGCCGGCCACCGCGCCCACGCTCACGGGACTGGACGGCCGGCCGGGTGCGGGGCCGCGTGCCCAGCCTGGAACCACATCTGCCGCTTGAAGCCAGAGGCCTCCAGTGCGCCTGCGTCTGTCTCTCTGTCCATCTGTCTGGTTCCCAGAGCTGGAGCCAGCTCTGCTGGAGGGGAGTGCGACCAGGAGCCGGGCGCGGCAGGGAAGGGGTGGGACACCAGTGCGCCCACGTCTGCACACGGGAGCACGTGCATGAGGCGTGTGCGTTCGCAGGGCCCGCAGTAGGGGCGTGGGGCAGGGTCCCGGGGTAAGCCCCGGCCCAGCAATAAGGCCCCCGAGCCCTGCTGTGGCAAGTGCGGCCACCCTGCCCAGGGCATCCCGGTCGGGCGCCTCACTGTGACTCCCACCCCTGCTGGTCAGTAAATTCTCCAGAAAGCTCCAGCCTCTGCCTCTTCTTTCACTTCTGACCCCGGGACCCCCCACGGCAGGAATGAGACAGACAATGGGTGATATCTGCCAGTTTTTTGTTTTTTTTTTTAATTAGATTCTGGATTAAAAAGACACCAACTCCAGTCAGGGAGAGCTGTGGCTTCTGTGAGCTGGCCAGTCCCCCTGCGCTGGACATCCTTGGCCATGAGGTCTTGGTGGGCTAGTTCCCGAACCCTGGGTTTACAGGTTCACAGACCTGAGGGGCACACCCCTCCAGAGGAGAGTGGTGGGCACCCCCACTGGGCTGCAGAGGGACCAGCTCTGCTCATGGCAGAACAGCTCACGGCTCTGTTCTGGTCCTGGGTGGGACTCGGCAAAGTCAGGTCCCCTCCCTTGGCCAGGCCGCCACTGCTGTTCACAGCTGAAGCAGCCAACACCTGCTGGGAAGCAGTGCTGCTAGCATGGCTGCTGCCCCTGGGCATGGAGAACGGTGCCTTCTCCCAATCTGGGCTTGGCCAGGGACATATCTCCCAGGGGTGTCCTGGGGGTGGCCCCAGTCAGCACCAGCCTGGATGTTGGGGGCAGAGGAACCAACCCCACCTCAAAGATGCCCAGGTCCTGAGCAGCAACTGGTCCCTAGCAGAGGCCTTTGACACTGCCTCGCTCCTGACCAAGGAAGATGAAAACTGCCAGGAGATCGGGCACCTGGGTGTTTCCTCCTGCTGAAGCCACCTGGCCAGTGTGCCTGGGTGTCTAGGCCAGCTCATTCAGCTTGTGTGTGCGGGGCCGGCCGCTGGCTCCCCTCTGCCTTCAGCCACTGCATCTTCTGCCTGTGCTGCTGGATGGCATCCTGAACCCGGGCGTCCATCATGGCCTCAGTGAGGACCCCGTCCTCAGAGGCATATGCCATGGCCTGGCAAAGAAAAGAGTCCTGACTCAGGGCACCAGAGGGGCTGCCCGCACAGGGAAAGGGCCAGGCCTGAGGCTCCCAGGTGACTTGGTCAGGGCCCACCAGTCACCAGGAACCACTCAGCCTGTAGGCCAGCCCCTTCCTTGCTGCCACTTACCCCCCACCTTGAAGACATGCCCCCACCCCACAGAACCCAAAGCCCTCTTGCAGGCAGGGCAGGCGGGGACAAAGTCCAGGGTGCTCCCATGGGCTGGTGCTCAGACTCAGGAGGGGCCTGGCCTCTCAGCAGGACAAACATGCAGACAGACGTGGCAACGGCACACGCCTTGACTCCCTATGCACTAGAGTGTGCCACATACACGTGCTCACAGGCAGATCTGCAGCCCAGTGTGGCCAACATCCCTCAATTCTGTGGTTCTGCCTGCTCCACTAAGTTTCTCAATGACTTTCTAAAAATAGAAACCCAGAGGACTACTTTCAGGAGGGAGCCCCGCCCCTCAACTGCACGCCCTGCTCTGTGGATAACCAAGCTTCCCCCAGGCCCAGGGCATGGTCAGCAGAACCAACACAGGCCTGACACTAAAGGGAAGCAAAGCCCTCCAGGGGTTAAATGGGGAACATGCACAGTCCACCAAGACCTGCCCCTCACAGGCCCCCAACTGTCCACACATGGTGCTTCCAGAACTGTGGGGCTGCTGTGGGCAGCATTGCATTCCCCATACCCAGGACCCCAGCCTTGGCACGTGGCTCAGGGAACCAGAGTTCTGCTAATCAGTTCCCAGTGTGGTCCACAGCATTACAGCTGCCAAAGCAGGTCCTCTGGCCAGGCCACATGCCGCCCAGATGACCCAGCATCCCTTCTGCTCCCAGTCAGGCAGCCAGTGGCTCTGACATGTGCCTATCCTGAGGATAGCACTCAAGTGCCCACCAAGCAGGGGGCTCAAACCAGGCTGGCTGTTTCTCTCCAGCTCCCTGAGGAGGTTCAGCCACGCAGGGTATTGGGAGCAAGCTCCCACCATCTGAAACCACCAGTCATTGTGCTTACCCAGGTGGCCCCAGCCTTGAGTCACGGCTGTCCTCAGCACCTGAGCCAGGCCAAGGAGGGAGGGACTGCCCCTGCGGCCTCCTGCGAGGTACACATGAGGACAGCAGAGGCGGTGGGCTGGGTGGAGGCAGCCAGAGGAGATCCAATGGTGGGAAGGTAGGTAGAGGTATGCAGTGACATCACCATGGAGAAGCCAGGCAGTCACCATGTAACCAGGGGATTCAAGCCAACATCCCTGTGATGTTGTGTGGACATCTAATGCCCCAGTGTGACATGACCAGATGGGTACCTCACCTTTAGGGTCTCCTCCACACTCCCACAATCCCAGTCGAAGACATCCGACAGACCAAAGGAGGGACACTCTATAGCACTCCTCGAACCGTGAGGATCATGCTCAGAACAGCCCACACAGAGAAGCCTGAATCAGTAGGATGGAATATCATGGACATCTGGGCGGGTTCTGGGTAAGATCAAGTCTGAAGTGGAATTGAGGGATGTGGTGAGACATTCACAGTGTGGTGGGGGCTGTGCTGGCCTTGTGACATTCCTGTGAACTTGGAATTATTAAAAAATTTAGAAGTTCGTTACAAAAAAACACACAAAACCTTAAAGGAGAACTAACACTAATGTTGCTCAAACTCTTCCAAAACACGGAAGAGGAAGGAACACTTCCCAACTCATTCTGAGGCCAGCATCACCCTGATACTAAAACCAGACAAAACACCACATGTAAACTATAGGTCCAGATCCTCTGTGAATACTGATGTAAAACCCTCAACAAAATACTAACAAACCAAACTCAGTAGCATACTGACAGGGTTATACATCACAACCAAATGGCATTTATTCCTGGAGTGCAAGGATGGCTCACCTAGAGAAAATCGACCTAGGCAAATAATTAACAAAATGGACAAAAACCACATGAGCGTTTCAGTTAATGAGAAAAAAAGTTGGCAAAATCCAGTACCCTTTCTTGATGAAAACAATAAACTAGGGGGAATTCCCTGGTGGTCCAGTGGTGAGAACTCCACACTTCCACTGCCAAGGGTCCTGGTATGATCTGTGGTCGGGGGAGAAAAAGATCCTGCAAGCCATAAGGCATGACAAACCAGTAATAGACCAGGAATATAAGAAAATTTCTTCATCCTAATAGAGGCCATATAAGAAAAACTCACAGCAAACGTCATCTCAATGATAAAAGACTGAAAGCTTTTCCACTAAGACTGGGATCAAGGCAAGGATGCCCACTTTCAGCACTTCCGGTCAACAAAGCACTAGAAATTGTAGACAGATCAATTAGACAAAAAAAGAAATAAAAGACACCACATTGGAAAGGAAGAAATAAAATTATCTGTCTGTAGATGATGTGATCTTATTACATACGGTAAACCCTAAAGATCCCCCCAAAATTGTTAAAAGTAATAAACTCAACAAAGTTCCTGGACACAGAAGTAACACACAAAACCACTTGTGTCTCTACAGTAACACTAAACAACTGGAAAAGAAAGAAAGAAAACAGGGGCTTCCCTGGTAGTCCAGTGGTTAAGAATCTGTTTTGCAATGCAAGGGACAGTGGTTTGATTCCTCGTCCAGGAAGATCCCACATGCCTCAAACAACTAAGCCCATGCGCTGCACTACTGAAGCTCATGCAGCGAGAGCCCATTCTCTGCAACAAGAGAAACCACTACGAGAAGCCCGCACCCCACAACTAGAGAGTAGCATGTACAGCAACAAAGACCCAGCACAGCCAAAAATAAATAAATCTTTTTAAAAGTAAAAAAAAAAAAAAATCCATTTATAACAGCATTGAAAAGGATAAAATACTTAGGAATTACCCAAGGAGGTGGGAGGCTTGTACACAGAAAACTAGAAAATGTTACTTAAATCTAGGATACCAGAAGATAGAAAGACGTCTGTGTTCATGCACGGAAGACAATGTTGTAACAACACCAATACTTCCCAAGGCAATCTACAGATTCAATGTAATCCCTATTAAAATTTCAATGATGATTTTTTGCATAAATTTAAAAAAAAAATCCACCCTAAAATTCATACGCAGTCTCAAAGGCCCCCAAGTAGCCCAAACAGTCATGAACGTCAGAATTCTCACATTTCCTCGTTTTAAAACCTAACAGACAGTGGTACTGGCGCTAAGACAGACACAGGCCAACTGAACAGAACAGAGAGCCCAGACAGAAACCCTCACGTGTACTGTCAGTGACCTCCAACAAGGGGGCCGAGACCATGCACTGGGGGGGAAACGACTGTCTTTCCAACAAATGGTGCTGGGAAAACTCCAAACTATAAAACTGGTAGAAATAAACATAGGGGAGAAGCTTTCAGATATTGGATTTAGCAATGACTTGTCTGTGACATTAAAAGCAGGTGACAAAAGAAAAAAATAGAAAAATTCAACTTCATCAAAATTAAAAACTTTTGTGCTTCAAAGGACACTAATGGATTTAGTGATAACAAACCCGCCTGCTAATGCAGGAGACCCAAGAGACACAGATTTGGTCCCTGGGTCAGCAAGATCCCTTAGAGGAGGGCATAGCAATCCACTTCAGTATTCATGCCTGCAAAATCCCACGGACAGAGGAGTCTGGCGGGCTACAGTCCATAGGGTTGCAGAGTCAGATACTACTAAAGCAACTTAGCAGCAGCAGCAGGACACTACCAAGAGAGTACAAAAAGGCAACCCACAGTGGCGGTGGGGGGGGGGGGGAATATTTGCAAAACCATGTGTCTGATAAAAGGTTAATAACTAAAATATATAGAAACAACACAAGTGTCCACCTGCAGCCAGAGAGGTGCACGAGGTGTGTCCTCTGCACTCCAGGGTGTCAGGCTGCCTGACGAGAAAGGAGAATGACACCTGTTACAACACGGATGAACCTCAAGGACACTGTACTCAGTAAGTCAGTTTTAAGAAGACAATTCCAGTATGATTCCTCACAGGTCCCTGGAACAGTCAAGACTCTCAGAGACAGCAAGTAGGGGAGTGGGGGCTGGGGCCGGGAGGCAGGGGTGGGAGCGAGTGTTTAATGGGGACAGAGCTTCAGTTTGGGAAGATGAGAAAGTCCTGGAGATGATGTTGCACAACAACACGAATATGCTCAATGCCACTGAGCTGTGCATTTAAAAATGGTGAAGATGATGAATTTTATGTTAAAAAGTTCAGGTTCCCATGATGGGTAACGAACTGTAGATGGTGAGACGCACAGACCTGACTGTTACACCACAGCACAGGGGCGGCAGCTGCAACAGAGCCCACATGATACCAGCAAGTGGGGAGTAGGTGCCGGGTCCCCAGGCTGCCCAGCCGGAGAGAGTGGGAGGGTGGGCAGGAGTCGCCACAGCCCAGCCCCAAGCACCTGGGGCCACAAGGGGAGAAAACTTGAAAGAGTGATGCCAACAAGTCCTGTCGAAGGCGATGGAATCCCCGTGGCATTTTGGGCCCTCACAGGTACTGGAAGTGGTAATGAGTACCAGGCACAGCCTGTGCACCGCTGACCAGGGACTGGATACCCAGGGAGAGCTCCCTGCAGGCTCCAGCCTCCCGTGCTTGCGCCAGGTCTCCTGACCCTCAGCTCCCCACCTGAGAGCACATGCAGGCCTGTCTCATGGCCTCCTCAATGAACTGGGAAGAGAAGCAGGGAGGGGAGGTGCACCAGGACCCCTGCTGCTGGGACCACCTGTTTGTCCTCCCTCAGGTCACGCTGAAGTGCTAACCTCAGCATGGCTGCCCTTGGAAACGGGCGGGTCAGGTCAGGTGGGGTCACAGAATGGCACCCTGCTCCTGCAGGGCTGTGCATGAACAAGTGGCAAGGAGGCTGCTGCGTGGCAGCCAGGAAGCAGGCCCTCACAGCAACAGGAACCCCCTCGCTGGCACCCTGAGGCAGGACATCCAGCCTCCAGAACCATGAGGTGATGCTTGTTCAAGCCCTGGCTGTACATTTTGTCCCGGCCCCTGGGTTGTTGGTCACTTTGCTGGTCACAGAAACAGCCAATCTTGTGAGGCCTGCTTCCTGAGTGAGGCCAGCATGGGGAAGAGCCCCTGACTCCCACAGTGGGGTTTGCGATCTGGGGCTGTTTGTTACAGCACAACCTAGTTCATCCTGACTAACAGTCGTGTATTCCTCCCCACCACTGTATCTGGACCAGGATGTTCAAATTCAACAGATGTCCCCTAATTTCATAAAAGATGCATTCATGCTCAGCTGAGAGTGGCCAGGCTGTCATGTGACCATAGACACAACTCACTCAGCACACTCCACCCAGCAAGGACCACGGAGAAACGTGCTAAATGGCTGCTCCCCTCCCCACACGCAGGGAGCTGCCACCGGGATGCCTCAGAAGAAAGCCTGGTGTCAGGACTGACCAGGGCCACTCTGACCTGTGTGACCAGAGCCATCGTCCCGCTGCCCCCAGGCTCTCGCGACTCCACAAACCTGTCCTGAAAGCCAGGACACCCACTGCCTTCATGGCCCTGCAGATCATCCTAAAGGCTGCGGGCTTCTGCAAGGAGCCAGGAAGGAAACCCCCTATCAGGTCAGTCTTGTCCTGTGCCCACAGACAGCTCCTGGGACGCACCATGCCCTCCCAGGCTGTAGCCCCAGATTCTGCGCCATGTGCCATCACCTGTGCCGACTGTCCTGGGCCCTGGCTGGAGACAAAGTCCAGTGGTTCCCGGGACAGCGCACATGTTGGCCACAGGACATGCCACTGATCTAGAGGGCCCCATTTGACCTGGACCAGAACGACAATAGGGAGGCCAGAAAATGTGAAGCTGCAGAGGGCTCTGGCTCATTCCCCACCTTGCAGGGACCCCAGGATGGTGACGCAGGAAAGCAGGACGTCACGTCACATCTGTCCAGAAACCCTTCAGAAATGCCCCAGTGGGAGCTCAGGAACCAGCCCAACCGCGTTCCAACCACTCCGAGGGTCCCTGGCTCGGTTGGGCTCTGCCCTGCAGGGTATGTCTCAGCTCACCTGCCATGCCACGGCGAGCTGAGAGATCTCCCGGCCTGACATGCCCTCCGTCAGCTGTGCAATCTCCGAGCACTTCTTTCCGTAGTCAAACTGGGCCAGCTTCAAGCGCCTGTGAGGAGTTCCCGAGTGATGCCTGGGCGCCCACAAGACCCGCAAGCGACCAGAGGCCCGTGAGGGCCTGGCTTCTATTAATAGAGGCCAGGACAGAGCCTGCGCTGGGAAACCCCAAGGAGGAGTGTCCAAGCCCCTTGCTGTAATAAGCCACACCCTGACCAATGTCCACAGGTGCGACCCTTCCACCTCCTCCCCTGCTGGGCATGTCCCTTCCCTGGGGAGCCCAAGACAGGGCCCCAGCGGGGGCCATGTAAGGATGGGGGGGGCACAGGCTGTGCTCAGGGGCAGCCGAGGGGCTGCTCAGGAATGGGCAGTGGGGGTCCCAGCCTGCTTCGAGCCCCACCGCCGGCCAGGGGGCTGGGGGCCATGTGCCCTCCCCCTGGACCCCCCAGCACACAGACAGCAGCTGACACTCCTGAGCCCTCTGCATGCAGATCTCGCCCCACTGGGCTTGGCTGAAAGCCCGAGAGAGACCGCTCAAACTCTTGTGAAAAGCCTCAGCTCCTCAGGTTGTGTACAGTGCCTGGGCTGCTGCTGGGCCAGGACGTGCCTTCAGGAGCTTAAGGGGACTGGGATCAGCTGGGGCAAAAGGGGAAAGAGGCCCAGGAGAAAGAGCTTGGGGGGCGGGTGGCAGAGGACTGGCAAAGTCTGCCTGAGTACAGAAGATGGCTCAGCTGTGCCAGGTGGATCCAGGTCAGTGGGGCTGAGATCCGGTCCCCGGGGAGGGTTACAAATAGAGCAGGCTTATCTGGAGCACTCCTGAAAGCACAGCAGTGGGGGGCGGGGGGATCCTGGACGAGCAAGGAGGGTTACCCCAGCCAGTGGGCCCCGTTGTGTGCAGTGAGGGGCCCAGAGCAAGGCTCAAAGAGTCCAGAAGTGGGCTATCATGGCCCCTCACTACCAGGACCCAAGTGTGGCCTTGATCTGAGGAGTCTGAAGGCAGGATGGAGGCAGGTAATCAATGAGTGGATAGGCTAGGAGGGCAGGGCCTCCAATAACAGTTGGTTACGACCCCGTGGTGAAACCCCAGGGACAGGGTTAGGGTAGATGCCCATGTGGGCACTGGGGGGAGGGACCAACATGACAGGCAGGGGGTGCCATGGTGGCAGGACACTTACTGCTTTCCTTCTGTAGCTGGTTTAAGAACATACTTGTCAAAATACATTCTCACCAGGCGCTCCCGCTCCTCCCGCTGTGGTAGCTCAAAGCTGACCATCTCATCGATGCGGTCGTTGATGGCCCAGTCAAACTGCTCGGGCTGGTTGCTGGCCAGGACCAGCATGAACCTGCAGCCGACACACGGCAAGAGCGGGCTGATGTCCAGCAGGGTCTACTGGGCAGCTTCTCAGCCCACAAAACTGGGGAGACTAGCATCACCCTCTACCACCTGCCCTCCCTGTCTTGCCCCAATTTCCCACTTCTCTTGACTGATGGCCCAGCCTGGGGGGAGGGCTGTGAAACCTCCATGTGCAGGAAGGGCAGGGACCCAGGGACCTAGGATGGAGACAGACCCTTGCCCCTCCCCAGTCAAGTGCACAGTCTCAAGGCCTGGCGCTCAGCCCAGCAGAGGCACAACCCAGGAGGAAGTCAACATGCCTCCCAGAGGCCAGGCTGGGCTCTCCACGGGCAACAGCTACAGTAGGCAGGGGGCTGGAGGGGTTCTGCCCACGCAGAGCACAAGATCAGGGGCCCAGAAGGGCAGCCCAACCCAGGGTCACCTGACGGTGTAGTGGCCTGACAATGCATCTTGGGGGCAGTCAGAAGTGCCAAGGGCCTGTGGATGAGCATGTGCCACTGGGCTCAGCCTCAGCCTACAGCATGTCTCAGGGGTGCCCACAAATGTCCCCCAGTGCCCAAATGGCCATCCCACTGCATGGAGGGAGGACACAGGAGGTTGTCTGGTCGTGTGGGCTGGCTACCCTGCAGCAACCACATGAGCCGAGGCAAGGCTGCTGGCTACCCTTTCTCACTTGCTGCTGTGCTGGCCCGTGCGGTGCAGGAAGGCATTCAGGGTGGCCCTGAGGTCTTCACTGATCTTCTCCTGCACAGAGAAGGGTCAAGCTGTAAGCAGCCATGCAAACAGTCAGGATCCCTCATCCAGGAGAGAAACATGGCAAGGCCTTCACAGAACTAAGCTCAAAGGCTGAATGAAGCTTAGCTTTGAAAAGATGCTAAACTTCCGCTTTTCAAACGAAATGTATGACCAAAGTGTGACTGTGGAGCAGGCTCCCAACAACCTTCCCGTAAGTGTAGATGCGGCCCAGGCCACCTACCCACCCGCTCCCCAGCAGCCAACCCAGCTCAGGACAGATGGGGCCTCTAGACACTTACAGTCGCTCGCTTCCTGAGAAAGGCATCTGCTTCGTCCACAAAGAGCAGGAGGCTGCGAGGGCAGGGCCACATGAGGGCAGGCAGCGCACAGCCCAGCAGAAACCCCTCACTTAGCACTGTCCCCAGTGGCCTCTGGGACCCAGAGCCTGGCTACAGATCGGGACGTGTCCAGTGCCAGTGTTGGGGAATGTAACTAAAAAGGGGCTGATGAGCCCTCATCTTAAACACTGATAAGTCACCGACACCGAGAGGCCCTCGGACCTCAGGGACAGGCTGTGGGGAAGGCACCGACCCCTTTCCCAGCAGGAGCCCCGGCTCACCCTCGCCGGCTGGTGCTGGCCCAGTCGAAGACCTTGTGCATGGCCGTCACGCCGTCCCGCCCCATGGGGGCCACATCCCCGCCCGTCATGATGGCGTAGTCCATACCAGAGTGCAGCGCCAGTTTCTGGGCATTTGGGGAAGGGGCTTTAAGGGCTGCTCCACCTACCCCCCACTCCACCTCTCCTGGGCACCAGGGCCGGACCACGTGTGTGGAGACACCTGGCCTGCAGAGCTGGACAGGGACACGTGTCCCAGGCAGGTGAGATGCCACCACCCTCAGTCCCGCCTGGGCCCTCACCTTGGCAAACAGCGTTTTGCCAGTCCCGGGTGGCCCATACATCAGGACATTTCGGTACAGACTTCTGTTCTTCTTGGTGTTCCTTGTGGCGATGGCGATGTCCCGCACGCGAGCCTCCAGGCTGGGCTGCCAGGGGACACAGTGTTTTGGGGGCGCTCTGCTGTCCAGTCCGTCCCTCCTGAGGGCCTGGGCTGGTGGTGCAAGAGGCCGCTCTCCCCGGCTGGACTCAGCCAGCAAACCGACTCCTGGGAGGTTGGGCAGCCCCACTTACGCTGAGGACGACGCCCTCCAACGCATCCTGAGGTTTACTGAGGAGGCGCCTGCTGACCTGCGGGGTGGGGGGAGGGTCAACAGTGGAGCCCATGGCGTGGTCACACCAGAACGCAAGCCAGCAGCTTTCCTGGACAAGGCTGGCAGGGGAGACTGTCCACAACGCTGACCTCGAGCGCTGACCTCACAGTACAGCCCAGAAGATGCAGGGGAAGCCTGGCTCCCCTCGAGGGGAGTTGAGCCCAGGCTGACTCCAACACCTTCTCTTCCGGGAGGACAGCTCGCCGCAGCCCCAGGAGTTTATAAACAAGCAGGGGGGGTGATCCACCCAGGGGGATGGCCACCCCGACAGACCCCCAGAAGAACTGAGTGGACCAGGGTGAGAGTCCCCAGGTGCTGACATCACAGGGCCCAAGGGGCAGCATCAAGGAGGCAATGCAAGTCAGCACACAGGAGGAGGGTGGCATCTGGGCAGAAGAGGAGGAAGGGGCCATTGGGTGTTTGTGCCCAAGACCTGCAGTTACCTGTATGGGGTGCCTCAGAGCCTCCAGCACTGTGATGCGAGACGTCTCCCGCACCAGGGACGGCTTCCCCAGCCGGGCCTCAAAGTACCGCCCTGCGACGGACGTGGCGTTCTTGGCGGAATAGATCCCAACAGCCAGCAGTGTCAGCCCGGCCACCTGGAGTGGGCAGAGGAGGCAGGTGGTTCACCCCATCCCCTGGCTCCCCCACTGTGGAGTCTTGCCAGGCCCACCAGCACTGGTGCACCAAAGGGCTGGCACCAGGGAGATGAAACGGACATCTGGCATCCCCAACGCCCTCCCCCCAGCCTCAGCAAGGTTGATGCTGAGTCGTTTGAAGTGTCCCAAACCCAAAGGCCAAGTCACTTGTGCCTTTCTGGTAGGGGAGGGGTGAGCACTCAGCACAGGCACCAACCCCCAATGGCTTGCAGAGCCCCTGACATATGAGTGTACCCCAGGGAAGAAGGCAAAGGCGCTTACCGTGGCTGTCACTTTGTCCCAGTCTGTCACAAAGGCACGGAACCCTTCACCAAACAGGGTGCCTGCTGTCCTGCAGGGGAGCAGTGGCATGACCCAGAAGGCATCAGGCCATGTGCCACATGGTTGGAGGCCCCCAGGTCAGCCCCAAGGGGCACTGTGAAGGACCAACCAGGGGAGGAGTAGGGCACCCACATAGGAAAGGGGCCAGCGGAAGCCTGCCAGGCAGGGCCTCACCTAATGGACTCTAGGATGGTCTGGCGGTGCTCAGCGGCCTTCAGGCGGATTTGCTCACGGATGATATCGGCGTTCTCGCGCTCAGCCTTGGCCCGGGCGCGCGCCTCGGCCTCCACCCGCAGCATCTCATTCTTGTGCCGCAACTCCATCTCCCGCTCCACGGTGGCTGCCCGGGGAGGGAGCAGGGTTGGTGCTCAGCCCATGGCCCCCCACCCAGGGCTGCTACACAGGACAAGCAAGCCACGGTGCCCTCCACCCCCAGGGTCTCAGCAGGCCCACCCCTGATGCTGCTTGGGGAGTGAAGGGCCTAAAGCAAGGGTGTGACCAGTGGTCGTGAGCTTCCAAGTCAGGGCCCTACCTCGCCGCAGGGCCTCCTGCTTCTGCACAGATTCCTCTTGCTTCCGTAAGTTCTCCTCATTGAGAAGTTGCTGAGAAGGAGCCACAAGGGGAAGGGAAGGGCTTCGAGATTAGGAAACAGGCAATATCACACCAACAGGTTAGCTGCTCTGGCCTTGGAGACATCCCCACTGCTCCTAGGGCTCCAACCTCCTGGGGACGGTCAGTCACCCTAGGGCCTGCAGGCTGCAGTCTAAGACAGGAAGGAACCTTGGTCCCCCACTCAGCTCAGCCTTGGGGTGGCCCTGACCCACGGCTGTCCTCATGAAATGGGCCATTTGCCGAACTGTTGAATTTAGAAGTTAAAATGCCAACAGGCTCGGTGTTTGAATGCCCCCTACAAACTCACTCGTCAGTCAAGTCCCACTTGGGAGACCATCAGGGCAGCTCAGTTTGAACCCTCCCTCTCCGCCCCTCAACCCAGCGCTTGCTGACAAGAGGATCCCAGACTCTGGCTCCCATGCAGCCTTGGGGAAGATGAGCGGCCAGGCAGTGCTCACCTGCTGTTTTAGCTGGTCCTCATAGCGCTGCCGGGCCAGCTTGTCCTGGTACTGGGCCCTCTAGGGAGGGAGAGGGCGGTGTGAACACAGCCCAGCCTCAGGAAGTAAGGTCTAGGCTGGGCCCCCACAGGCACAGTCGCTGATGAGCACCCCTCCCCGGCCCCGCTCTCTTACGGCCTGGTGCTGCCGCGTCTCCTCACTCAGGGTCTTCCTCCGCTCCTCAGCCTGCACTCGGATCTGATCGCCCTTCAGCTGCTCTACTGCGGCCTCGTACTCCTGCAGGACACACCAGCTGCTGTGAGCCAGGGCCTGGTCAGGCTTCCTGCCCCCTCTTCCCCCTCTGAGGGGGCTCCGAAGGGGCTGGACAGCGATGTAGCCTGTTCCACACCCCCAAAGGCCTGTGAGTGCTCAGCTACAACCACACCAAGGCCCGGGAGGACCCAGACCCATTGGCAAAGAGAAGCCAGGAGATGAGCTGGGCCAATGCCAAAGTAGCCAGAGAGTCTCCTGGGGTGCCTGTCCCCCCTCAACCCCAAGCCCCCACATGTACTTATGCCAGCTGCTCACTTCCTCATTCGCTTTACAACAACCCAGGTGGAACATAGAGCAGAGCCTTTTCCACATTTGCTCACTATGTGCTCAGTGTGAGGGCGGGGCTCGCCTATGAGAAACCAGACTCCTCATCCACACCGGCCTTCCAGAAGGTTCTGTGCAGAACTCAGGCCACATACCTGTGCTGATGCCCATTTCCCTCGAACCTGAGGAGGTGCCTGTGCACCCACCGCCTGCCTGTGTTCTCTCACCCTCCCCCAGCACCCACCCTCACTGATCACCCCATCCTCTCCACCGTCCAACCCCTAGCACCCATCTTGCACCTATTGCCTGTGTCCTCTCTGGGCCCCTCCCCACCCCCAGCGCCCACCTTTACCCACCTTGAGCTTGGCCTGATGCTCCAGCTGAAGTGTTTGCTCCTGCATCTGAGCCAGACTCAGTGCCTCCTTGGCGTGTCCTGGGGGAAGGGATGTGTAGGCATCAGGACACAAGGCAAGCATTCACACAGGCTAGGGGTGCTCAAGGGCACCACAGCCTCAACCTGAAAGCACACTTGGCCACACTGGTTCCTGGTCAGATCTGCTCAGAGAGCCCCCGCTAAAAAGAACACTGCCCCATCTTGCCACTTTTGTCTGTTCCACCCCCAACAGAAAACCCACATGTGGGGTCTGCCCCCAGGTGACCGTCACACCCCAGAGGGCTCCAGCAGAGAGGCTGTCCACCGCTTGTCCACTGACAGCAGGAGAGTCAAGCCTGTGGTTATACTGTCTATTTTTCAAGTGCGAATGTTTCTCTTCAGCCTCTGATACCTGTTACTGTTCTACAACTGAGCACAGGCAGGTGAGAATCTGAGTAAGAAGCAAAGGAGGATTAAATCAGAAAGAGGGCAATGCTTGCAGGCTGATGGCTCTTCACAGGCCGCCTGTTAGAAACATGTGTGTAATTATCTTCCAGGTGTGTTCTCTTCATAAGGGGACACATGTGGAAATATGCGGCAACACATGGATGTTCTAGAATGGACCCCAGGACTCTCCTTGCTAAAAAATCCTCACATGGGGCCTAAGAGACCCCTGATGACACAGTTCTGTGTCATCACTATAAAGTCCACGCTTTACCACAAAAACCTTCTAACACATAAAAGCACAGAGAGAAGCTGGGGAGCCCATGAGCCCACCTCTCTGATGCCACCACGTTCCCAGGTTGCTGACCACACGTCCACCCTTCTGTTCCCCACCATCTGTCTTATTTTTTGAGGCCTTCAAGGTAGGCTGCAGATCCCAGGACCTGTCACCCCCAAGTTGCAGCCCACACGCCACTGACTAGAACCTAACCCCTGGGGCTGCTGGCTCCCAGCATGCCCCACATTAGACGCGAGGCGGGTGGCAGCTCTGGGGCTCAGCTGTCAGCTGAGGCACTCGGTCTGGCTTCAGAGCTTGCGGAGGACCTGCAGCTGGCCTGTTTACTCAAGCTGTGACCTATGGCAGCCAGGCTGACCACTCTGAGCATGAGCACCTCACCTGCAAGCAGAGTAGGCGCTCCCTCCCCCGACTCGTGGAGTGAGATGGCTGGATTTGAATTTGGCAATAAGGAGTTCATGACCTGAAAGCAGGTAAACTGCTTAGTGCAGGGCCTGGCACCCAGGAGCCCTGCTAATCACAAGCTTTGGGCTCAGTGCTGAGAATGACAACTGTTACCTCACGTCGTCCCGCACCAGGAGATGGGCCCAGCATTAACTGCACCCACCACAGGCAAGTTACTCTTCCCAGAACCCTATAAACATGTGGAGCGCACAGCTTAAGGCTAAATGGGCTGCTCTGGCATCCAAGGAGGACTGAGGAGCCCTAGGGAACCAGCAGCCTCAGGTGAGGCCCCAGGGGACACAGGCAATGGCCAGACTGTGAGGGGCAGCTGAGGGTATCTTTGGTTCGCATGGGAGAGCAATGAGTGAACAAGAGTGGGCATAGGCCAACCAGGGCAGGCCTCCAGCTGGGAACTGGAAGCATTTCCAGAAGACAGGCCTGGGGAGCGGCTGAGGGGCCTGATGCACCCTGGGGAGGAGGGTTTGGGGACAGAGGGGACAGGCAGCTCAGGGTGACACCTCTCCCACTGACCAGCAGAGAAGCCAGGAAGGATGGCATGAACAAAAATGAAGTAGAGTTCACACCTGGGACAGCATCACGAGACACAGAGACGGATGAGGAGACAATGCCTCTGGGTGGTAGCAGGCAGAGGCTCTACAGGAGATGCTGTGGGGGGATGGGAGAGCAGAGGCCAAGGCCCTGCAGACCCAGGTGGAGAATGTTCTGTGGCAGCCAATGCAGGAGACCTGGGAGCAGCTCAAAGGCATGAGCAGACAGAAGTCAAGGAGTTCCCTTGGCTGCTACCCTGAGGCACACCACAGGCTATTCATACTGCCCTGAACAACAGTGTGAGTGTGAGGGGCCAAGAGTCAGGCTTCAGATTCCCAAGGGAGGAAAACAGTAAAATTCCAGGACTGGAATTCCCATCCAGGGAATGGATGAAGCCCGCTCACCACATGCGCATGTGCACACACACCTCACCCCACACACACCCCTAAGAAATGAGGGTTAAGCCCCCCCACTCCCCCCCCACACACCTAAGAAATGAGGGTGAACTTCCCCCACACACACAAACCAAAGAAATGAGGGTGAACTTCCTCCCCACACACACAAACCAAAGAAATGAGGGTGAACTTCCTCCCACCTCCCACCACACACAAACCTAAGAAATTAGGTCTCATGTCAAAAAAGTCTATGATCACTGAGGTGTCTTGAGAAGGGAGATGGGTTTGAGTGTCCCAGGCTTTAAGGAAAATGCATCAGGTTTTCACTTATTGTTGGAGAAGGTTAGCATTCAGATAGGTGAAGTCTGTAAGCAACAAATAAGGCCAGCCCAGGGCAGATGATCTTCTTGGCTCCCACCCTCAAGGCATCAGACCTTGACTGCTCTCAAGCCCCTCTGCAAGCCTGTCTTCTATTATCTTGCAAACTTAATGCATCTATTACACTCAACACCCACTCAGAGGTAGGGAGTGTTCCAGGTAGGTCTAAGGAAACAGGCTGCCCTGGGCCCAGGCCTAAATCTCCACAGTGTTCCTCCCAGGATCGGAGAACCAAGCAGGCTGGAGACCTTTACCCGGGGTGTTCTTGTGGCCCCCGTGGAAGGGCAGAGACTAAGCCACAGAGTGCCAGTCCACCCCTGGATGGGAAGACTCTGCTCACCTCTGCTTACAAAGCTGCAGCATAGGGTGGTAAGAAAACAGCACCTCTGCTTAAAAGGTTGAAAGTCGCTGTATTCTTTCAACTAACATCTACTCAGCATGTGCTATATTGCAGACTTTTGAGACATCATCAAATCCACAGGAGAAAAGAAGGTTGGGAGAAAATACGTGGGCTTAGTAAAGGCGCAGTGAAGGGCTGATGCCTTGAGGGTGGGAGCCAAGAAGGTCATCTGCTGCCCTGGACCGGCCTTATTTGTTGCTTACAGACCTCACCTATCTGAATGCTAACCTTCTTCAACAATAAATGAAAACCTGATGTATTTTCCTTAAAGCCTAGGACACTCAAACCCATCTCCCTTCTCAAACGGAAAACACAGCAACTAGCACAGACGGATCCCCAACCTGGTCTGCCTTGGCCGTCCCACGTGGAGGCGGAAAGCAGCAGTAACTGGAGACCAGGGTGCAGTCCCGCCATCTGCTGCCTGTACCCTCTGAATCCCCTCGGCACCGGTTTCCCCACGTGAAGAATGCGTGGCAGCTGGGAAGATGCCAGAAGGTCAGGGGGTCCCGAACTTCCCCTGCACGCAGGGTGGCTCCGGCGGGCTTATCGCTTCAGGCTGGTTTCCTCCCCCGACCACCACTTACTGCTCGATCGCTCAGACCACTCACCACTTGCCCGCGAGCGTCCCGCCCGGTCGCCCTGCCCGCGCCCACCCGCCACACTCACGCGAGTGCTCCAGCTCTCGCGCCGCCTTGGCCGCGCGCTCCAGGCCCGTCGGGTCGAAGTTGCTCCATTTGTCCTTGGGCCCCGGCCGGTCCCCCGTGCCGCGGTCTCCGCTGCCTTCGCCCCCGGGCTGTACGGGCGGCAAGGGCAGAGGTGGCCCCGTGCCTTCGCCCTTGGAACCCTTGATGCCGAAGAGCCACGACATGGTCCACAAGCGCCGGCGCAGCGGGGACTTGCAGCCGAATGGACTCGCGGGGCTCACAGCGGGCTCCACGCGCCGCGAGCCGGCGGCAAAGACTGCGCAGGCGCAACAGTGGCCCTTCCTCCCTGGCAATGGATGCGTGTGAGGGCCCCTTGCCCCATGCGGCCCTCGGATTGGCTACGAGTGTGGTGACATCATGGTGTCTCCGCCGCGATTGTAGAAGCAAGCCCAGAGGGCAGGCCGTCGGAGGGCGGGGCGAGGTACCAGGTGACAGGGGCCGATCAGGGACAAAATTGAGGAGCTGGGCGCGTGCGCCCCCCTGAATACGTCAGCGTGGCAATGACACTGGCCCGGTTGCTACGGGCATCCAGAGTTCCGGCTCCGGGGGCAGCAGAGATGCAGGTGCTGGAGCAGAAGGCTCTTGTCCGGTCCCGAACGAGGGAGCGGCCGCGAAAGCAAGAGTCCTCCACAGGCGCTCGGTCAGCGGGAGAGGAACCGGGCGGCGGGCGATGGGTCGCGGGACCGGGGCAGAGAGCAGGTGCCGGCGCCCCTGGCTGAGCGGCCCCCTAGGATGGCAGAGAGCGGGTTGGGCGTGTCCAGCGCAGAGCGGACATGGGCCCCGAGCCCATGGGCCGGGCGGCGAGGGAAGTGCCTGGGCCTGGTGCTTGGTGGGTCTCGGTGTTGAAATGATGGAAAGGCGGAAGCGCGGCCCTGGCTAATCTCCAGCAACCGTCAGTAGGATGATGGGCTCTCCCAAACCTCCTCTTCAGCGAGAGCAGTGGCTCTCGGGGACGTACATGCGTGGGTGTGTTCGTGCTCAGTCCTGTCCGACTCTGCGACCCCATGGACTGTGTAGCCTTCCAGGCTCCTTTGACCATGGCATTTTCCAGGCAAGAATACTGGAGTGGGTTGCCGCTTCCTTCTCCAGAGGGAATCTTCCCGACTCAGGGATGGAACCCACTCGACACCTCCTGCATTGGCAGGCGGATTTTTTATCCCTGACACACGTGGGAAGTCCCAAGTGAAGGGACTGAGCTCTCCAACTCCGGAAGTAAGGGGCGGCAGAGGTCCCGAAGCACCACAGAGGGCGCCTGCGTGGGAGGAGAGCTCCTCGGGGGCCCAAGGGTCCTGGCTCTGGTTACTGACTGGTGAGACTTCTGGGGAACTCCAAAAGCCAGGTTTCTGCTTCAGGGACCCAGGTGCAGGCCACACGGCCTGGGACAGATGGAGACAAGGATGGACACAGGGCAGCACCCAAAGTTAGCAAAGTTTGCTTCTTGAGCCAGTGTCCAAGTTGCCCCTGTGTTCTTTCCTTGATGGAATTTGTAGAGTTCCCAAAATCATATGGACTTTCTCTGTTAGTTTGAAAACAGTTTTAAGCCTCAGTAAAAATAGGGGGAAAATTTCTAAGATAATTCTGCCAGGGTTTTGTTGTTTGTTGTTTCCCCAAATGAGAAAAACCAAAGGAGTTTTCCTGCCAGATGTCGCTCATTGGTCGTCATCAAGATCCTTATGAACCAGCCAGAAAATATACATCCAGTAGCACTCCTGGCAGGCTGCGCTGGATAAAGAGGAAATGGGGGAGGGAATTGAAGTTCATGTCCACAGGAAACTGTTTAGTTCCATCCAAAGGCCAGCAGTTGGCAAGCTTGTGTACTTTTATGGGGCTTCCCAGGTGGTGCTAGTGGTAAAGGACCTGCCTACCAAAGCAGGAGACTTAAGAACCCAGGTTCCATTCCTGGGTCAGGAAGATCCCCTGGAGGAGGGCATGGCAATCCACTGCAGTATCCTTGCCTGGAGAATCCCATGGACAGAGGAGCCTGGCGGGTTACAGTCCAAGGGTCACAGAGTTGAACATGACTAAGCACACACGCATGCACGTGGACTTTTATATGATAGTGTTAGTCACTCAGTCATGTCCAACTCTGCAACCCCATGAACTGTAGCCTGTCAGGCTCCTCTGCCCAAGGGATCTCCAGGCAAGAATACTGGAGTAGGTAGCCATTCCATTCTCCAGGGCTCTTCCTGACCCAGAGATTAAAACCAGGTTTCCTGCACTGCAAGCAGATTCTTTACCATCTGAGCCAGCAAGGAAGCCTGGTAGTTTTATATGACAAGGAATAACTGAAAATAAAGCTCTGCATTTAAAAAGTCAGTTTTCCATAAAAATTTTAAAAAAACATAAAGTCAGCTTCACAAAAAAGTCAGTTTTCCTTAACTTGGCTAAATTAAAAAACAGAAAGCATTGGTTGCTATCTTAAGATTTAGGTGGTTACACGCCCTCTCTTCGAGGGAAGAAACTGCTTCCCTCCAGTTTCCCTCATCAGAGTAGTACTGCTGACACTTTCTGACTTCCAATGGACCGTGCAGAACATCAGTCCACTTGTGTTTGTCACTTAAAGTCTTAGGCTGGAAGTAGACACAACTTTCCTAAAGACACTAAGTTAATAAAAGGAAATTAGGATGACACTTTCCACCTGATCTGTTCATTTTTTTTTTAAACTGGAAGATAATTGCTTTACAATGCTGTGTTGGTTTCTGCCATACCATGTGAATCAGCGGTAAGTATGCATATGTCCACTCCCTCTGCGTTTATGTTTAGTTGACAAACTCAGGGCACTCAGCTGCCAAGCTGCGCTGTTTTGCTGATGGGATTCCCCCAACACCCAGTTCCCTGTGGCTTTTTTGTTCCCCCCTCTGAGGGAGTCTTCCAGCTTTGAAGACCTGGAGGAGAGACTGAAGAAATTAAAGGTGCAGCTTGGCCTCTAACCTGACCTTGAGTCAGAGAGGGGGGACACTGCTGTCCCTGAGAGCCCAAACCAGCAGGAGCAGAGTGGGCCCCACACAGGCCCAGAGCAGAGGACTCTGCCCCCAAAGCCTGCACAGCAGGTGTGGCTTCTGAGTCTGTGCATCTGGTCAGACCTCTGGGGAGCCTTCCTGTCAGGCCCCAGGGCTTCCCAGTGCCATCTGCCTGGCATCTCCCAGGGACAGAAGCCCCGTGTCCACTTAAGCTTGGAGCCCTCGGCCCTCACTCTTCTGGCTTGCTCTCCTAGCTAGGACAGTTGGGCCTGCAGGGGCTGGTCTCTCCCTTTCATCCAGCCAGGCCCGTCCGGCTCCTGGTCTCTCCCTCAGTTCCAAAAAATGTGCTGCTAGTTCAGTCTCTAGAACCCCTCTACATGCGTGCCCCATGCCTGCCCCCAACCTGGCAGGCCCCAGCCCCCCTGAAAGGAAAGCTGCTCAGTCAGGCCCTCCTGGGCCTGAGACCCCAGGGCAGGGCCCCTGGCTGCTGGTCCCCACCCTACCCACCAAAGCAGTGCTGGGATCTCTGGCCCCTGCAGCCCCTCCTTCTGGCTCTGGGGTGAACAAGAGCTGAGCACTGAGCCCTCAGACGGGCTGTCTTGGGCTTAGGTCTGGAGAGGGTCCTGGGGCCAAGCCTAAGCTCTTTGCCCCCAGGCTTGTCTTCCTGCATTGTTTGCCCTTGGTGAGTGAGTGAGTGAGGTTGCTCAGTCGTGTCCGACTCTCTGTGACCCCATGGAATATATATATAGCCCACCAGGCTCCTCCATCCGTGGGATTCTCCAGGCAGGAATACTGGAGTGGGGTTGCCGTGTCCTTCTCCAGGGGTCTTCCCGACCCAGGGATCGAAGCCGGGTCTCCCGCATTGTGGGCAGACGCTTTACCCTCTGAGCCATCAGGGAAGCTTGGTGAGTGGCCACCTACTCAGATGCTCTGACACTGTCCCCCCACCCCGTGGAGCCATGCCCCATCTGCCCTCCACCCCAAAGCTGGACCGACAGGCTTATCCAACAGAGGTCCGTAGAGCCAGGCTGTCCCCAGAAGCATGGAGGGTGGGGGGGCCTTCGGCACAGGCACACAGCTGCCTGTCCACTCTGCTGAGGCCAGGAGACATGCCATGAGCACTGGCTGGCCTGCCCCTTCCCAGGAGAAGATCAGGGTCAGCTGCATGATCTGGACAGAACTTGGAAGCAAGTTTTCAATCCCGGTGGCACTGACAGAGCCCCAGCATCATCTGGGGGGGGGTGTTGGTGAGTGGCACCTGCGGGAGTGATTCTTGGAGGAAGAGCCACCCAGCTTGGCCTCGAGTGCCCTCTCGTCCAGCAGGGGCTGGCCCTGGAACAGGGGAAGGAGGGAGATGGGAGCTGGCTGGGACCCTGAGCATACAGTGTTGGCTTTCACCCCCCTCCTCTGGGCAGCACCCCACGCGCTGTGGGGCACCAGAGTGGGGTGGCTGAGTCCTCAGCTCCTGTGGACACTGCCACCATGGGCTCAGGCAAGCTGCTGGTCGCCCCCACTGTCCCTGCGCTTGTGCACACACCTGAGGGGAACGGTGGTGGTGGGGACTTTCCTTCCTGCCAGGCTCTTGGGTCTGTGGCTAGGATAACATAATTTGTCGTGGGTGAGTTCCTTGACACTTCTGAAATGTGAGTGATGAGTACCAGGGATTTTAATTCCTAGTCAGTGAGCAGAGGTCACATCTACCCTACCTGGTCCTTCCCAGGAAACCTCAGCCCCTCTCCCTCCTTGAGAAGGAGGCTGTCCCAAGAGCCCCCTGCCTGCTGTCAAAAGCACACCTCACCCTAACTGGTGAGCTACTGAGGCTGCGTCGGCCTCCCCGCCAAGGGCTGGAACTTGTGGGGTGGGGTCTCCCAGAGGGTCCCTACCTTACCACACTCACCTCTAGGGAGAGCTATGACTTCCACTGACATTTTTGTTTTAATGAACGTTGAAAAAAAAATTTTCATCCCGGGAAAAAAGCACAGACACACAGCTGTCGCCCTGTAGCTTCCTGAACTGCCCCCTCACCCCAGCAGGAGGCTATGAGGACTCACACGTCTCTCAGGGCGGCTGGGCTTCCGGCCCTGGCCCGACAGAGTTTATTACCGCTGCCGTGGAAACAGCTCCTGCTCCAAGGAGACACCGCCAGCCGTACCACCCACTCCTGGACGTCCACCTCCCGGAGACCTAGATCCAAACCCAGTGGCCATCCAGCCTCCTCACAGATGGCCTTTGTCCATTACCTGGCTCTCACAAACCCCTGCCGTCAGGCAAGTCCTGGGCTGCAGCGAAGACCCCACACAGGAAAT